TTTGAATTTCTGGGCATTTTTCGGGTAAGCCACAGCCAAGAAATCATCTCTTTAACCTTGATTTAGGCTGGGTTATGCTAATTTCTGTTTATTTCCCTCAATTTTTGGGTAGTCCGTGAGTTTCCCCTGCAGATGCCGCCGGCTTCTTCTCCCTGCTAGGTCCGGTTCTTGCTGGAAATTTCTGGTATGTTGATGGCATCTTTAAGTCCAAAAATGGTTAACTAGTTTCTGCCTTGTGTTGTTAAATTTTATCAATTTGTTGCTGCCATGTGTGTCTGAATTTCTGCAGAAATATGGAAGAATTGGGCAGCATTTTAAACATGTTTTTTTAGCTTAATTCATGTAGAAATAAACCTGTTTCTGGCTTGAAATTAGCTGCTGTTCTGTGTGGAAAAATCCTGCTGTTTTGCCAAAATTTTACTGTTCACGCGCAGTCACTGTTCACGCAGAAACATTCTGCATTTTCCTGCACTGTTTTTGACCAGAAAACTCTGTATTTTCTCCAGAAAAATTCTGCATTTTGCAGCATTTTTCCTTGCTATTTTTCTGCATTGTTTTCCCCCAAATTTCTTGCAATTTACCGCAAATTTCTGCTCCTTGCCAAATTCTGGAAGTTGCAGTTACTGTTCACTGCGCGCACTGTTCACGCGCACTGTTCACCCATTGAATTTTAATTGATTTGAGTAGAAAATCTCATGGAATGCGTTAGTTATGGCATTGGATTAATTTTGGTCCAGTAGTGATGTATTATTGATTGGGGTTTTGTTTGGTTGTGAGAACGTGATGGGAAAATAAAAAGGGAAATGGTTATTAATTCTTGAATATTTTGATTAGGTTATTGATCGTTCTGTCAGTTTAGTACGTGAATTGAGTGCTCGGTTTTGCGGAGTGAGGTAAGTAAAATTATGGTAACGCCCTTCGACTTTTCAAGCATGTTTTGATTTGTTTTTGAAATGGTGGCGGGACTAAACCCGTTTTACACGAACATGACTGATTTGAAGTGAAATGTTTTATGCTTTTCATTAAATTGAGCATGCCTACTTGAAATTTAAGTGACTGTCCTGATGATCTGAAAGTGATTGTGAATTGTGATTTTTCTGATAACTTCTGCCTGTTTTGTCTCCGATGTGGTCATGTTATTCGTGACCCCGCTAGTGGGGGAGGTTACAAACGCTAGCACATGTCGACATGTTCCTGATAGGACCGGTTCGCTCTTGGCCCTACTAGTGGGGATTATACACTAGTATTCCTGTTTGCCTGCCAGTGGGAACTGGC